TTATTAGTTCATATACAACCGGGTTCTATACACCTTAAAATGGCTACAGATTACTATTCAGCTGTCTCATGTCTATTTTAATTTTAGTATTTAGCAGTTGATAGCGTTGAAGCATGATTTTGCTGAACCTGGCTGTTTTTCGGGTAGTCTAACTCTGTTTTGCATAGATATGTTACCTATTAGTTTGCACCTGTAACCCCTTGGTTTAGAGTGTTTCTGCTTTGTCATAGTGATCAGGGACTTGAAGCATTTTCGTGGGCCTTCAATCCCGCTTGCATTTGATTGGAGTATTTGTATTTGCTTTAAAATGATTGGAGTGTTTTTCGCGGGGGCGGGCTCTGCTGTAACAGCCAAACTGGCCTATAAAAGTCTGGCTTGTCCCTGGCTCGGGGTCTTGCTTCATCCACTGGTCCTGCATGTCTGTGTGACGAGCTCGATCCTGGCTAGCCAGCTCAATAAACTCTGCTTGCTGATTGCATCCACATCTGGTTCTTTGCTGCCTAAGGGTCGGACAATTTTGGACCCTAACAGTACATGAGCCATCATCTGGTGAATAATAGTCCATTGAAACTCCTGTCATCTTAAGCCAAAAGAAAGTTTTCCCCAAATTCCTCTTTTGCCCTTAGGTTACTTTCAGGTGCATTCAAAGTTGTCTCTCCTCCCAGACCCCTGATAAGGGTCATCTCTTTTGACTTTAGGGACATTTTCCTGGAAAAGTTAGCAATTGTGAGAACAGATTACTCCTCTCTCATGGGCAGGGTGAGCAGTGTTAGGGTCCAAAATTGCCCTTCCGTTGGATAGCAAAGAACCTGACGTGGATGCAATCAGCAAGCAGAGTTTATTCATCTGGCTAGTCAGGGTCAAGCTCCTCACATGGTCATGCAGGACCGGTAGATGAAGCAAGACCCGGAGCCAGGGACAAGCCAGATTTTTTTTAGGCCAGTTTGGCCATTACAGCAGAGCCCTCGCCCATGAAAAACACTCCAATCATTTTAAAGCAAATATGAAACACTCCAATCAATTACAGGCAAGCCTAGAGGCCTACAAAATGCCTCAAGTCCCTATTCATCATGACAACACAAAACTATTCTAAGCTAAGGGGTTCCAGATACAAAGCAATAGCTAACATATCTGTGAAATACAGACCATGGGGCTATTTATTTTTGCCCTTATCAGGGCCACTGAGCCTTACATCCTGAGCCTGGGTGCGGGGGACAATGGGCTACTTGCTCTTGCTCTTATCAGGGCCTGCAAAAGACCCACTGACCTTTGCAGCCTTAAGCCTGGGTGAAGGGTCCAAGTTAGCCTGAGTTATTAAGAAACTTCTCTTTTTACATGAAGCTGCTTCTGGCTTATTCAAACTACTTCTAGTAATTAGGCCTTTTAACATTTTGGTTGCCTCTAACAAGCAGCAGCCTCCAAAACTCTCACATCTGCTCTAGGAATTCTAGAGCCCTTTCTTTGAAATGAAGTGTACATAGAGAAAGAAAAGTTAACCTGCTCACGTCAAAATACAAGGGGGATTGGGGGACCACACACAACAGTGCACCTGTAGCAGGCCTCTCTGGAGTCCCAGGAGCACGCCTGTGTTCCCCAAGCACCTGCAGCTACCAGCAAATGCCCGACTGAATGGAAGAAACCATGGCCAAAAGCAGAGGGGAAAACGGCTGTGAAGGACGGTCCTGTGTGTGATGGGCTGGGTCTGTAGGAAGAACGCAAGGACGGCAGAGATAGGGCAAATCCAAGGTCAGGCTCCTCAGACACACAGCTGCCCTTGCTGGCTGATTGCTTTCCTGACGTTGGAGCAACGAGGCCTCAGCATGCCAAGCTCTTATTCATGCAGAAGCCTTTACCGTGCTTTATTAGATTGTGGCTAAGGAAAACATTACATTAGATACGCAGTTGTAAAATCATGGGGAACTTAGAGTGACACTCTGACCTCCCATTCTGCAGATAAGGAAAGCGAAGTTCAGACACAGGGTGGAAATGGAGTTTCCAGATGCTCCCCCAACATCCTTCCACCCATCTCTCCCTGCTGGGCCTCAGAGAGGAACGCAGATAAATGTCTGCCACTTGACAAGGCCTTTGTAGCCTGGATAACAGCATCCTCCGAACATTTCAGGTTACACTCAATGTGTCATTCTCTTTTCTAAGTACTTTAAGTTTCCAGCAATATTAAATGGGGGAGGGAGGGCAGGAATCCTATCTACCGAAATAATTCTGAAAATCGAGTAAATTAAACTTATAGAAAGAACTCTTGAACTCTCGGACATTTGCAAACTCGCAACACCGTTGAAGCTTCCAAACCTAAGTATGAAATGACTCCATGCATTCATTTTTGACTGCGAGGTTCATCTGTTCACCCAAATACACTAAATTCTTATCTGTATAATATGGACCTTCAACGTTTGCTGAGACTAATTTTTTTTTAAGATTTTTTTTAATTAATCAGATATACAGAGTCAGATATACAGAGATATACAGCAGAGAGATATACAGAGAAGAGGAGAGACAGAGAGGTAGACCTTCAGTCCATTGATTCATGCCCAAGCGGTCACAATGGCTGGAGTTGTGGCAACCTGAAGCCAGGAATCCGGAGCCTCTTCCAGTTTTCCCCCGCAGGTGCAGGGTCCCAAGGCTTTGGGCCATTCTCAACTGCCCTCCCAGGCCACAAGCAGGGAGCTGGATGGGAAGCGGGGCCACCAGAATTAGAACTGGCGTCCCTATGGGATCCCGGTGTGTGCTGTTAGAGGCAACCAAAATGTTAAAAGGCCTAATTACTAGAAGCAGTTTGAATAAGCCAGAAGCAGCTTCATGTAAAAAGAGAAGTTTCTTAATAACTCAGGCTAACTTGGACCCTTCACCCAGGCTTAAGGCTGCAAAGGTCAGTGGGTCTTTTGCAGGCCCTGATAAGAGCAAGAGCAAGTAGCCCATTGTCCCCCGCACCCAGGCTCAGGATGTAAGGCTCAGTGGCCCTGATAAGGGCAAAAATAAATAGCCCCATGGTCTGTATTTCACAGATATGTTAGCTATTGCTTTGTATCTGGAACCCCTTAGCTTAGAATAGTTTTGTGTTGTCATGATGAATAGGGACTTGAGGCATTTTGTGGGTCTCTAGGCTTGCCTGCAATTGATTGGAGTGGTTCATATTTGCTTTAAAATGATTGGAGTGTTTTTCGCGGGCGAGGGCTTTGCTGAAATGGCCAAACTGGCCTAAAAAAAATCTGGCTTGTCCCTGGCTCGGGGTGTTGCTTCATCTACTGGTCCTGCGTGTCCGTGTGAGGAGCTTGACCCTGGCTAGCCAGATGAATAAACTCTGCTTGCTGATTGCATCCACATCAGGTTCTTTGCTATCCAATGGAGGGGCAATTTTGGACCCTAACATGTGCAAGGTGAGGACTTTAGCCACTAGGCTACTGCGCCGGGATACTGAGACTATTGTTAACCTCACAACAAAAACAGTGATGTTATAGTCTCATTTATTTTACAACATTTACATGACAAATTTAATGTTAAGGTTTCCAAGAACTGAAACAAAATAATCTGCTATGGAATCAATCACCCTGCAAACTAGCAAGTTATGTTCACAAGCATACTGGGCACACCTTGGCAGGGTCACTGCACCTTAGCTGGAGTGTTGGGGCAGGCTGTGCCATCTGGACCTATGATTTCTTTTCTTTTCTTTTTTGCAAATGACTCAAACAGTTTTATTTTTGTCGAGGCTAGTTAGCTAGAAAAGCAGGGGGGGAATAATTCACTTATGGATTCACTTTCTTGCAAGCTGGGAGAGAATCAACCTCCCTTCCAATGGCCGAGGTTCCCTCACTGTGAAAATAATTCCAAAAGCAGTTTTTCTGATTTCTCCAGGTTTCTCCATGGAGAAGCACTGCTTGGCAGTCAGTGGACCCAGCAGCCTTGCCATCACTTTCAGAGAGTCCAAAATAACAACCCTAAGTACGCCATCTCCTATGGTCCTCTTATTTCTAGAGGCCTCTCGGCAGCACTGGATAGAATTAGATTCTTTCCTTTGCAGATCTGCATCAGATTGAGTGCACTGGAAATTATTGTGGAGTCTTTGATAGGAGAGCTATGAACAAGTTCAAAGCCCAAGCCTCAGTCCATGGCCACAAAAATAGGGGTTCTTTCGAAGTAAAATAAATGGCAGTTTTTCTGTCACATGATGCTGACCAAATTCACACCCAAATGTGTACAAGCCACACGTAAAGAGTTTTCCAGTCTTTGGAAAAACGGCAACAATATCATACAGCCGAACCCTGGAAGAAGTTGCTCTCAAAACATTACAATGAGATGGACCTGAAACAACAAAATTTTTGGCAAAATTTATCCTTGGCAAAATTTTAATTGGCCTTGATTTTTCCTGTGCAGTTGGTAATGTTGTGAAGAGTTCAGAGACGGCTATGAGCTTGTCAATTGCATGTTTCTTTTCCTTAATGTCAACAACATGATTGATGGCAACAACTGAGTGAGAGGCGAGCGGTGAGTTCCACTCACCCAGGTGTCCACGAGTCCTCGGAGGGATTTCAGGTCCAAAATCAGGTGCAGGTCCGAGTCTGTAAACACTGCCCCAGTGGAGTGTCGAGCTGTGGTTTCTGGGGAGATTTCTCTCACACAACGACTGCTGGTGCTGAAACCTTCTGATGACCTTGTCCATTAGAGATCCCTAAACAGGAGCTCAAGCAAGCCTCCAACTGCATCCACCGGTTCTCTCAGCTCCCTAACTCACCAGGTCCAATGTCATTTCAGTGCATTTACATACATTTACATACAAGCAGCCTGAACTCTGGTTCCACTCCTGTCTTCCGTGAGCCTCATGGCACAGGGGACCTGGCTCTCTGTCGGGCCAGCAGAGCCTACACAGAGCAGACTCATCATTCAACTCTCCCAGCTCTCTGAAAGTATAATATTAAAAAAATAAAATCAAATAAGGATCCCAAGCATTAGAAATGACATACCTGTGTCTCTCTCTGTCGAACCCACAGAGTGATGTCCTTGCAGGCCATGCAAGATCTCCACTTGGAGGAGCCAGAGACCAAAGAAGTGAATGGAATCCTGATGACCAAGATGATAAGTGATAACTGGGACAAAATCTGGAATTTCCAAGCCAAGCCTGATGACCTCCTCATTGCAACCTATGCAAAGGCAGGTAGGTCTGGAGGCCTGGCTGCGGGGCACAGCAGGCTGTTGCAGAGCAGAGGGGCAACAAATGAGTAGTTTAAGAGTAATATAAAGCACTGGGCTTCCCCAGGACTGGCCCCAGAAAAATGAAAAAGCAGACTTACTCATGAGCTTGCATCCCATGCCACACCCTAGAGAGAGAAACCGTGACCAGAATTCCAGATCACTAAAGGATTTAGTGAATTAGGAAGTGTTTTAGAACAGAGTCTGAGAAACAGCACAGAGGTTCTTAATAATAAATCTTGCTACCTGGCCACTTCCTGTTTTCATCTAAGGACTTCCTGTTTTCATCTATGATTCTGGCCCTCTTTGGTCTCACTCCCTTCGCAATCAGCATATGTTGCCTGAGCTCATGGAGCAAGCTTGTTAGAACACACAGTGGCTAATTCCTCTTTGTTCCCCCTTGCATCCATCCCATTTATTTGATCAAGCTACACCCTCAGCACAAAGTCCTGTGATAGGGCTTAGAAGAACAAAAGAACCTGCCTTGATCCAGCTCTCAGAGTCACAAAGAAATAAATGCATGAACAGGAGGTAGCAGTGTGCAGAGAAGGCACCCACCCATACTCAGAGGAGGAGGGACCCCTTACCTTGGGTGGCTTGCCGAGGTGACAAGTGAGCTGAATCCGTTCAACACTTGACAAATGTGAATTGAACCGATCACGTGTGCAATCAAGGAAACAGACTCAGCTTCATGAGAGTCCTGATGCTTCCAGGCACAACGTGGACCCAGGAGATCGTGGACATGATCCAGAATGACGGAGACGTGCAGAAGTGCCAGCGGGCCAACACCTTCGACCGGCACCCTTTCCTTGAGTGGACTCTGCCGCCACCCCTCAACTCCGGTGGGTGTGCTCCCCTGAACCCTGGGAGGGTCAGTGTTTACCAGAAGGCGAGTCATGTCTGCAGGCAGTCTTCTGGCGAATATTTCCAAATGGAACTGAGAGCTTGTAGGGGATTGAGATCAAAACAACTGGAGAAAAACATCTCCCACTTCCTTTCTTAAAACTTAGGATATGTTAGCATCAACACATTCCCAACTGTTGCTGAAGTGTTTGAAAGTCACTGTATTGCCCGGTAATGGCAGGGCTGAGTGCCCAGAGCCCACATTCATGGGCCAGTTGTGCTGCAGTGGGTTAAGCCACAGCCTGAAACCTCAGCTTCTTATAGCAGAGCTCCCGTTCAAAACCTGACAGCTCCAGTTCTCATGCAGCTCCCTGTTAATACACATGGAAAAACAAGTGCTTGGGCCCCTACCACCTATATGGGAAACCCAAAAGAGCCAGGATGGTCAGGCAATTTGTCCTTGGGGAGGAAAGAGATGTGCAAAACCATCGTTTAAAGCAAAGAACCAGTTATTTTGTCCGTCTAATTCTAGACATTTGGCAAGAAATAATGTTAAGTGCATGTAGCTAATACACAAACGTTTGAGTGCTGTGCCCTCATCTCCCAGGTCTGGATCTGGCTAACAAGATGCCTTCTCCCAGAACTCTGAAGACCCACCTGCCTGTTCAGATGCTACCACCTTCTTTTTGGAAAGAAAATTCAAAGGTAAGACGTGCCAGCTCTTCATACCCAGGTTTGATCAGTATGGGCAAAAAAATGACTTTTATTAGTTGAAAAGAAGCAACACATTGAAGGAGAAATAACCAGTAAAGGCACGGGACACATGATGGCATCACCGCACATTCCCACCCTCCTTTCTGGATCTACTTTTCCTTTGAAACATGATGTCTGGGTACACCTTAGATGTCTTCAGGAAAACCATTCTGACGAGCTGCCAACCAGGCCACTTTCAAACGATGCCAGTGAATCAAGCAGGTTCTTCCTGAAGAAGGTTGGTCTCAGAGCATAGAAGTTCGAGCAATAAGGACCAAGGTGTGACGTGAAGAGGTCTATTTGAGAAAATTCTGTTAGGAGGAAAGTGGAGCAAGATAGAAGGAGCATGGGAAGCCTAAGACCCTGCTGATGCTCTGATGCTTGGGAGGCAGGGGTGAGGAAGAAGGCTTGCAAACCTCGACTGCAGTGAGTGTCTATCAAGCTGATGGGAGCCCACGAGCCGAAGTCAGCTCTCAAAGAGCTCCACATCTCAGGGGCTGGGCTGGCGTTAGCTTCACTGCCAGGCACACTCAGTAGGCAAGAGCCATGCTCCGGAAATGTAGCAAAAAAAAAAAAAAAAACAATCCAGCAGTGTATTGCATAGTAACTGAGGTCATTTGTCCATTGCCAGAGATAGGAAGTGCCATGTTCATCAGGGTCACCATCAAGCCACCGTGTGAGTTCATGCCTACTTGGTATTCAAAGTATACCTCTTCCTTTGGGGATGAGAAATCTGATTTTGTCAGCGTGTAGAAAATTAGCCTACACTTAGAACAAGTTTCGTAAAGTTCCCGAGTACTATGATTTATCTATTTCCTCCACTTTCATTTTTTTTTTAAATTTGACATTTCCTAATTCAAATCCTATAAATACACGTAGATTGAAAAGGCTAGTGTTTCTTTTTGGTGTTTGACTCATCATGAGTGTTAAATTCAATGCGATATGGAGTGTCAGCCAAATAGCAAATCACAAACTTGTCAAGTATACTCAAGCAAAACAACTGAGTTCCTGTGAGAGCCAGACCAACACGTTTCTCCAGGTGGACATTGTAGTGGAAATTCACTTACCTGAGACTGCTGACAGAGTGAAATGATATTCTGCTTTTGTTCTTTAAAGATTCATCTGCTTATTTTGAAAGCAGAGTGATAGGAAAAGAAGAACAAACATGAAACGAGAGAGAAAGAGAGGGAGAGAGAGAGAGAGAGATCCGCTATCCACTGTTTCATTCCCCAAATGGTTCTATAGGGGCGTGGATCAGGCTGAAGCCAGGAGCCCAAGCTCCATCCAGGCCTCCCATGTGGGTGTCTTCTGTTTCGGGGCTGTCTTCTATGGCTGTCCGAATTAGCAGGACACTGGAAGGGAAAGGGAGCAGCCAGGACTCAGTATGGGATGCTGGTGTCCCAAATGGCAGCTTAGCCAGCTACCCCACAACACCTGCTCCATGAGTTCTTTCCAAAACTCCAAAAGAACAAATTATGGTTGAAGTCACAATATCCGTGACAATTTGTTACAGCAGCCATTGGAAACTGATACAGATGGGCCGAAGACTGGGAGCTTATTCAACATTGATCTCCACGCCACAAATACATTTGAATACGTTCCCTGTCTAACCCAGGACATCCTCATTTTCCAGTTGCCTAATCCTAGACAGAAATCAACACCATCGGCATTCAATATTACACAGAATGCATGTGCACAGTAATAAGAACTTGTAGTTATCATCTAAGTTTTAGTTTCCATGGTGCTTTCGTGAGAGATTCTGCAGAAAGAAAGAGGGCAGAAAACAAAATCTCACCATGACTTGGTTCCCCCAAGCAGCAATGGGGGTGAACACAGTTGTTCACAAGCTATGCAATCTATGGTATTTTGTTATAGCAATCTGAACGGAGTGAGACACTGGACATAAACTCCTTAACCCCTAAGAATATCACAGATTGGGTTATTGTGGCATCTGTACAAAAACCAGGATTCTTCTGAGAGGTGTTTTAATTGCTTATGCTAAGATCACAGCAATAAGTAATAACTATAAATCTGGACAAATCAGGAGACATGTCATCTCAGTCATAGAAAACACATACATGCTTAATTATTTAAGTGAAATAAGCCAAGATTCTACAAGAGACATTTTTTAAAAAACTGGTCCTTTATAATGAATATTTATTTATTTATTTATTTATTTATATTTTATTTAATGAGTATATATATTTATTGGTTTTATCTCTATGTATATATAAAACATTTCTGCTTTCCTCTTACTCTCCTTGTCGGCCAACTGCAGATTATTTATGTAGCTAGAAATGCTAAGGACTGTCTCGTGTCCTACTATCACTTCTCAAGGATGAATAAAATGGTGCCTGACCCTGGAACGTGGGAGGAATATGTTGAGACATTCAAAGCCGGGAAAGGTAAGTGAGAGAAGATTGTGGATTCCCATTTTCTCCTTCATCCTTTCGCCAATGCCCTCAGCAGGGACCGTCCCGGTAGATGGTTGGATTCGTCTAGGCTCTGCAGGGAAGGGGATGGGACACTCATCGTCCAGGGAGACTTTAACAAATGAGTATCGACAAGGCTATGGCAAGAGTGTGAGGAAACTGGTGAGGGCTAGTACAGCATTGTAGGGGAGCACCAGCCCCCTGGAGGGAGCACCAGCCCCCTGGAGCACGGCCCTTGACAGGAGCTGAGGCCTCAGATGAGAGGACAAGCCAACCACAGTAAGCTCACAGTGAGGGTTTCAGGGGAACAAGTCCCTCCAGGACCTCTTGCTAGCCAAGCTCAGCTAGGCGTGTGAGGTCAAGGAACTCACTGCCACAGTCTGTACAGGTCAGCTCACAGGACACCGAGCAGGATGAGGGTGGAGCACGTGGGATGAGATCACCAAAAGCTGCTCAGCAGAGCTGTCTTCCTCCCATTTACCTTACAGAGGAAAAACATGCCCAGAGAGCTGTCAGCTATGACAGAACTTCAAAAGCTGGTGAGAAAGCGGAATTAAAAGATACATTTATTTTGAAACCAATGACACCTTGAAATCCATGCGTTTTCTTAATAATGCGAATTTTCCAAGAACTTTTGAAGACCCCTCAAGTATATTTTTGGGTGAAAGACTTCTTTTCCAAATCAGCCCAAGAAATGATGATCAACAAATACTTTTTTTTTTTTTTTAAATCCTGGTTTCCTGCTTGAGTTTCTTTGTCTTTTGCTTGTGTTTATGAATCGTGCTCTCTCATGAGACCTTCAGACTCGTTTCATAGATTGCAAATTGACACTGATGTCCAATCTCTCTCCTTGCCCTCCTCAGTGCTGTGGGGCTCCTGGTATGACCACGTGAAGGGATGGTGGGATGCAAAAGACCAGCACCGCATTCTCTACCTCTTCTATGAGGACATGAAGGAGGTGAGGCCCTGTGGTCTCCATGAGACCCTCCCACATCCTCAGATGAAAGGCATCCATGGCGTGGACCTTCAGGGAAGGCCCCCTCCCTCTAGGACACCCAGTGCAATTCAGTTCATCCTATTGCTTTCTCAACCTTCTAAATTTTCTTTGTTTCTGTTCAAAATTGCGCCCCCCCCCACTAAAATTATTTTATCTCAGTAAATAGCATTTGCTTTATGGGTGAAGTAGGCTGTTGGACCTTAACGTTTATGAATCATGCTTCTTTACCAACAAATTGGTATCATTTTAATCTCATGAGACTATATTTGTAAAGTGTACATAGGGTGTCAAAATTTTTAACTACTCCTTCCCCTTCCATATCCCAAGCTCCCATAGCTAACAAATATTCAATCTGTATAATTTTGGGCAGGATTAGTCTCACGCATTGAGACAGAGGGCTGATTCCTTCCTTTCAGGTCATTGTATATGAGTAACATCCACACTTGACTTAATCCACTTAATAAACATTTCTGCAAGAAATATTGTCCACAGTCACAAAACTACCTGCCAGGCTACTACTGGCAATGATTAAAATCTAAACAAATACGAAGCCCCTTTCTCTTTCTGTGCCTCTTTGGTCAGAAAGAACCAAACAGCAAAAATTCACGTGTCCGAATCAACTTGAGGTGCCTTGTCTTTAACTTCTTGCTGGCCTGTGTTACATGGACGCTTTGTGCTATCTCTTATAGTCCAAATATGAGATTTATGCTGCACTTCAGCAACATCGGCTCCCTTCACACAGCCCGCGCTAGTCTTCCCCAGGCTTCCTATCAAGTCTCTAACTGGAAACTATGCATTCCTGCCAGTTACTACTGTTAGTTGGCTGATTAGCACTGCACTCAAGAACAGGGCAAAGTCCTGTGGGTAGCCCTCGGCTTTGTGTGGCCGCAGCCTCTGACCCAGTACGCACCCACTGCTCACTAGCAATCACTTGCAAAATATTTGTTGAATCTATTTAACTCCAGCACACCACCCCTAGATATTCTGTCCACATACAAAGTTCATAGTTCATGCAAAGCTCAAAACTGTTCTTGTGAAACTGCATACAGGACCCAAAGAGGGAAATTGAGAAAATATTGAAGTTCTTGGAGAAAGACATAGCAGAGGAAGTTCTGGATAAAATCATCTACCATACCTCCTTTGATGTTATGAAGCAAAATCCAATGGCCAACTACACAACTCTGCCCACCAGCATCATGGACCACTCCATCTCCCCTTTTATGAGGAAAGGTAGATACGGCTTCTGCTCTAAGATGCCCTGTGGAGGTATAAGGCCTTGGGGTCTGCTTGGGACTTGCAGGAATGTTTCACATCCCATGCTTCCTTCTTGCTCCCCTCTCTAGTGTGGGTGCTGGAGGTGAGTGATTCTTCCTCCCTGTGCTCCTGGAGCCATCACTCAGTCTTTGCTTTGTTTCAGGAATGCCTGGGGACTGGAAGAACTATTTCACTGTGGCTCAAAATGAAGAATTTGACAAGGATTACCAGAGGAAGATGGAAGGCAGCACCCTCACCTTCCGCACAGAGATCTGAGTGCCAGCGGGGACTCCACCCTGGACTTCGTGACTTGACCTGAACCATGTGACTGTTGGCATCAGGACACTTAAGTAAGGCCTCACTTCCACCGTGAGCAGCAAGGTGGCACTCAAAATACTGTGCCACTGTGATATTTCATCCAAATGTAATCAAGTCCAGAGTAGAACATTTTTAATTGTTAGTGATATTTCTCATAGATCTCTGCCACGTAATAGTGGACTCATCTATACCAACATTTATGAACTTGACCTAATTTCCTTTGCAATGCTCTAGACTACAGAGGTAAAAATCCATAAAGAGAGAAAAGTAAATAATCACCCACTTAGAATCATTTAGCTTTATAATGGTGTGAAAAAACCAACCCACACACGATTCACAGACTAATATTCAATAATTTCATGAGATACTCAGTACCTATTATAAAGTGGGCTTTTATTGTAAGATTTTGCCTTTCTTTAAATTAATGTGAGCACTTTAAGCATGTTAGATATAGGTGAGGATAAGCTATGATACTCAATACATTAGGTGTGTTGGGCGCATTTTTTATTTGCAATATTGGGTTTCTTGGCATATCACCTCATTAGAATCTGAGAAGCATCTTTAAAGAAGAGTGGAATTTCACCAGGAGAGAAGGTGAACAAGAGAAGCAAAGAGGATGAGAGTGAACACTAACTAGGGAGAATTCCCAAGGAAAATTGCTTTTCATTCTTTTTAAGATTTATTTATTTGAAAATTAAAGTGAGAGAGAGAGAGAGATCTTCCATCTTCTAATTGTCCCTCCAAATGGCTTCAATGACTAGGGTCGGGCCAGGCAAAAGCCTGGGGCCTGATTCTCCATGTATCTCCCACATGTTCCAGGAACCCAGGTACCTGGCCCCACCTTTTGCTGCTTTCCCAGGCATATCAGCAGGTAGGCAGATTAAAAGTGGAGCAATTGGGATTCAATGTGGCACCACAGTAGCTTATCCTGTTGTGCCAGAATTCTAGAGCTTGTTTTTTTATTTATTTATTTTTTTATTAACCAGCAAGCTCAGAAGACTACTGAACTCGTGGAGAAACTAGGATATGAGGTGCAGAGGCTAACATGAAGATCGTAGTTCGGTGAGCAGGTTTGACTTAGACAATCACTAGGCAATGCAGCACATGATAAGGAGCTCGGGGTGAACAAGAATGGCGGCCGCTCTAAGGCTCACACAGACTGCAAAACACAGAAGGATTTTATATGTCAGGCGGCTTAGAGATAAGTCAAATAAAACATCTACTACTTCACATACTTTAAGAGAAACTCGAGTTTCACATCTCTGGGCCGGGGGAAGGGGGGATCAATTTTTATACTTTTTAAGTAAAGGGTAACTAGAAAGACATCAGTAGCATTGCCAAATTGGTCAGCTACACAATCATGTTCCATTCTTTTTATTAAAATGTATCTTAAGAAACTGCCTGCAATCATTTACACAAGCTATGCAAGGTTCGGGTATTGCTGTATTTTTTAATGAACAAATTCATTTGTTAGACACAGAAAAGGATAGTCTGTCCCTGCTGAGACTGTCTTTGAATCTTTTGTAATGCTCACAACTGCTGGGCTGGGGATAGGCCAGAGCTAGGAGATAAGAGCACAGTCAAGGGCTCCTAGGTAGCACACACAGACTACCCAATCACCTGAGCCATCAGCTGCTGCCTCCCACGGTCCACACTAGCAGCAGAAGGCTGGATTCAGGAGCCAGACAAGGGCATCTACCTGCCAAGGTCTACTCTCGCAGCAGAAAGCTGGATTCAGGAGCCAGTCAAAGGTACCAAACACAGCTGCTCCAATACGACACATAGGTATCTCAACCTGTGTCTTCCCCAGTAAGCCAAGTTCCAGCCACCTCCGCTGCTTTATTTGAAAAGAATGTTGGGAAGATACCATTGGTGGGAGGGCTGATTTCCTGGACCACTAAGTCATCCCATCAGAAAAATTATCTTCTCCATCTTATTTGTGCTCATGTACCAGTGCATCTTCTTAGGGAAACACGCAAATTATCAATTGCATGACAAATAACCCAGAGTGGTATCCACGCAGAAGATACGTACAATTGAATGCAAATAAATTTTATCAATAACACCCACAAGTGTCTCCCAGGGACCTACCTAAGAATCTAGGTAGCAATTACATAAGTTTGCTTTGTAAATGTGGTGTAGATATATTTTAGTGCTGAGAATGTATCTGGAGCATACAGCCAAGATTAATCTGCTTTTCTTGTTTTATAAATTACACAGTTATTTTTATTTGGGCTATGAAACTGAATTTTATTCTTACTTTATCCAAAAATTTGGGCCATAAGGAATATCTGTATTTCTAGACTTCTCTCATGCAATGCTCTGCTATGGCCTTTTACACAATAGTTTAAGTACTATGAATAAGAATTAATCACTTAGGTACTTTAATCCTTTTTTAATTTCATTCTGAATTGATGACTCAGTTCAGTTTTAAGAGCTCTTTTTTGTTCCTGATCCTATAAAACAGAAATATTGGAGAAGGGACATATTGAAGAAGCCATGGAGTATATTCTCCTGCCACCCCAGGCCTCCAGACCTTTACATAATTCCAAACAGAAACTCTGTACCTGTGAAACAATTAACTCCCCCTCTCCACCTGTGTGCCTACCTCCCCACCTCCCCCTGTTAAGGCTTCCGGCAAAACAATATTTTACTTTTTTTTTTTTTTTTTTACAAATTTGATTTTCAAGTACCTCCTGTAAGTGGAACCGTAAATGACGGCAGTCTCATAATCCCACCTATTTTTTTAAGATTTATTTATTTTTATTACAAAGTCAGATATACAGAGAGGAGGAGAAACAGAGAGGAAGATCTTCCGTCCAATGACTCACTCCCCAAGTGAGCACAACGGCCGGTGCTGCACCGGTCCGAAGCCAGGAGCCAGGAGCTTCTTCCTGGTATCCCACAGGGGTGCAGGGTCCCAAAGCTTTGGGCCATCCTTGACTGTTTTCCCAGGCCACAAACAGGGAGCTGGATGGGAAGTGGAGCTGCCGGGATTAGAACCGGCGCTCACATGGGATCCCGGCGCGTTTAAGGCGAGGACTTTAGCCTCTAGGCCATGCCGCCGGGCCCAATCCCACCTATTTTTAACAGCTGTTCCCAAAGTATATCACATTACCACTTATTTTGAATATATCAAACACTTTGAAACATCCACAATGACTAGATATTTTCAGTACTAGTTTCCCTGAATATTGCATGGACACTATTGCTAAATAAAGCTGTACCCACGGAGCAATGGTCATGATCTGAGGTGTCTTCTAAAGAATGCCTTTTCTCTCCACCATGACCCTTTTACAGGCAGGTATAATGGCTGGAGTTGCTTGAACAAGTTCACTTACAAAAATAGAAATATTGTCTACGAATTGCAGTATGGAATCTTCAAAACATGCTACTTTTTACTAATTTTACTTCCTCAGACACTGGCAACCTCTCCCATCCAAGTACTAACCACGCCCGACCCTGCTTAGCTTCCAAGATGAGACGAGACTGGGCGCGTTTAGGGTGGTATGGCCGTAGACCACTGGCAACCTCTGCACGGCCTTAGCACTGCTTTGTGTATCACATATACCCTGTACACACAGCAAAACAAGCGCATATACCACGCAGACTTTCCCAGAACGCACCAGCATATGCCCTTTTGCATTTTCTTTGTTCCCAACTTTTCCCAGCAATTGAGCAAGGCTAGTCAGTCATTTCTTATTCATAGAGGTGGCTTAATGAGTCCATTCCCTACTATTTTAGCAGAACTATGTCATCGTTCACAACTTCCACTTCAAACATGCCTCGGTTCGTTTGCGGCATGCAGACAGACTGAGTGTTTCAGGCAAGGACTTTGCCTGCTCTCTGTGTAGCAGTCCTGGATGAGCTGTGCACGGGGAACAGCAGCTTCAGCACCAAGGTGTCTCCGCAGTTAGGAGCACTCTGGCCCAGCACTGTTCCTTGCTCCCTTCTCCCCGATACAGTGGGTTGTCATGCTCAAATTTGTAAGAGATTTCCTTGCCTAGGAGTTTTAATGATTTTAATGCAAAATATAAAAATCATACCAAACTTAATAACTATACTTTGTGGTGGCTGATAATCTCTTCATCAGCTAGAAAGAGTGGAGTTGCACACTAGGAAATGCTTGTCCGTTGTATGCACACAATATACACAATCAAATAAAGCAAAACAAATGCACATAGAGGACCCTGGTTAATCTCAGCTAACAGTAAACACCTTGGCACATTAGCTCTTATACCCCAGAACTGTGCACAAACACACACACACTTGCTCAGGGAAGTGGTACGGCCATTCCAAAACCAATGTTTCTCATGAATTTCAACACAAAAGTGCTGCGAAATGTGCATTTACTATCTGTACATTGAACAATTTGCTAGGCCCTCAAGAATGTCTGAAAAGATGGCGTATTTCCCAGAAAGGACTTAGCATTGTCAGCTATACAAACTGTGAGGCATAAGTCACACACTGAGAATAATGGTAACAATATGAAGATCCCTTGTGAATATGATGAGTTTGGCACAGAAGTTTCTTCGCTTCCTCTTCTAAGCCACAAAACAAAGTGGGGTGCATGTGGGTCCTGGTTTTGCTTCCAGAGGGCTCTAACAATTGCTTCCAGGTTTCACATCTTTGTAGGCTATACAAGGGCTGACTGTGGTTGGAGCTGGGGAGGCAGTAACAGCAATCAGGTTGTGGGGGTACCTTCAGCCTCACAGTCTGGGCTTAGCCCAGAAGCAGCAGTAACCTTGAGCTCTCTGACCAGCTCTGATTACAGCTTCAAAACCAGTTATGTGCTTTTAAAGATGCACTTCATTCATCTGAAAGGCAGGAATTAGAGGGTGCGAGGACACAGAAAGAGCTTAGAGAGAGAGAGAGAGAGAGACCTTTATACAACAGTCAGTCTTTGGAGCAGCTCAAATTTGGGAACCAAGACCTCCAATCCAGGTATCTCCCAATGAGTGGTTAGGGCCCAAGTAGTTAGGCCATCTTCCACTGCGTTTTTAGGTTCATTGGTAGGAAGCTGGATTGGAAGTAGAACAGCTGGGACTGGAACCATCACTCCACCTGGGATCCTGGTGTTCAGGCCCTGGTTCAATGTGCAACATCACAGTGCCAGTACCCAGGCCAACCTTCCCTCCTGACCTTTTAGCAGTTTCCCTTCTGGTCTAAAGCTGCCTGATTGACAAATAGCACAACTCCTTATTATTCTATTGAAGAAATACAGTTTACTTAGCCTGCTTGGTTTGAAACTGTTGTTTGGTTTCAAAACTGGTATTAGGAAGTATTCTGCTCAAACTTAAAATTTTTCATCTTTTTTTTTTTTTTTTAGGTGCTCACTGGCATTTTCTTTTTTTATTATTATTATATTTGTTACAATCTTTACACAGTTAATTAGGGTAAAAAGGTTCAAGGGCTTTAGGGAAGGGGTAAGACTGTTATTTTCACATTATTTCCTTCATGCTTAAAGGGGGATATTAAGGGAGAAGGCCCACCCAGTTTCCCACCCTCCCAGTTCCCGGATGTGGGGCATGCTCCGAGATTCTTGCTCAAGTGGTTTTGATGGTTCCCCAGTTATGAATCACTGCCAATCTTGCCACTCCAAGCACTATGAGGTTTTTCAAGAATCCACTGATCGACATAGTCCATCATAGAGTCTCCGTTTGCCCAGTATTTTGCTG